TACACATACTATCTGTTCTTAAGTTATTTTTGTATAAGAATAAATTTGTTGTTACAATTCTATGCAAAATTTTGAACTGAAAAATTCTCATTTTTTCTTCACCTGTTACCTTATAAGGTAACTCCCAAATTGCCTTCCATTTTCCTGCTATGTTCCGCCCATAAATCATTGACCCATATTTAGTTTCTGAGCTTGGGGGTTCAAATTTACTTTTTACCAGTATTTTATAGAAATCTTTTGTTTTACCCTTTCCATAATCAATTGTATTTTGAACATTTTGTCCAGTTACATGCACATGGTCATTAGATTTCAAAAGCTTTTTCCATTTTGATGGAATTGCCGAAATAATACCTGTATATGTTATAAAATTCACAGCAATATTATATTTTTCAGTAAACTGATGGCACTTTAGAAATTTACCGTTATTATCTAACAAATTACCGATGTACCTTACTCCACTGATGTGCCATTTACTGTAATATACAGAGCTCCCATCTATCAAAATATATTTATTATTCCAAATTGTTTGCGTATAACTCCCTGTACACAACTTGGTTCCTTCTGTTTATTTATCTCACTCCAATATCTTATAATATCCATGTAAAATGATGTTTGTTGTTGCAGCCAATGGGTTTTTCAGATTCTCTTTTATGTTCTGTATATAGGGCGCCACCTAGTGGTAGGTTTTCATTAATTATTTCAAAGGCTTTAATTATTTGTTTTTTCTTTGCATTATGTATGTATGATTATCATATCAAAGATTAACAAGAACTTTATTAAACTTTATTCTTCACTAAAACATTTTTAGCAGTGTTACTATTTTTATAAGTTATGTTTCCATTTTCATGAGGGGTGATTCATTTGCCCTGGGCAAGTGTTTATTGGAGGTGTGGCTATGCTAATTTGCATAGCCTATGTTTACAGAAACTCATAGTTTATTTGCAAGCTGATAGCAGTAATACCCATAGGCATCAAAGTGTATTATGGGCCAGTCAAGCTTCCATAGAGCACAGACCTGACAGTAATGACAAAATTAATAACGGCGCTAATATGCGACTTGTAAAGTTACATGGCATTGATCATTTTAAACTGCTATATGCCGACTAGTGTACATTTCCTAATATGCACGAGGCCGGTTAGATAAGGAAACTTGTTATCTAAAATAAATATTTTAGTCAGTTTTTCATCTATTTTAGTGTGATGTGCGAAGGATACATATAGTAGTCACATTAAAAAAAAAATTAGAGAAAACAAAAATAGTCACGATTTAGCCTGTCGAGTGGCCGGCACATAGTTACGGCACGAATTTGCCATTTTCATAAACAAGAATACGCCATTAAATGAATTCGCTGTACCGAGTCACATGTAACGTAATTGGTCTGTCATCGGCAACCCGAGAGATCGTGTGGTCCGAGTCTAATTCCTGTAACATTTACCTTCTTATAGGCATTATTTCCAGAATACGTTCTTTGTAGCCACGTACACACTCTTGGGACATAACAGTAAACAATACTAAACCACGGTCAACCGTGACTAAACACAATACTAGTATACATTTCATTAAAACTGGCTTATGGGTAGATGCTTGCCTGTAAACAATGACATGCTACGGCCATTTTTGGCTAGTACTCTCTGTTGCGACTTTTTATATTTGTGAACACGATTTTCACTGTCTTTGTTGAATTATATTGTACTTACTTACCTAGCTAATTCGGAAAACGCAGCTAGATATTCGTCCAAGATCACAAAGTTGTTTTTTGGGTGGCATTGTTCGCAGTGCTTTAAAACGACCGTAAGATCAAAGCCCCTGCTTGCCATTTTTTTTTACAATAAGGCAAGGAAATTAAATCCTCACGCCTCGGCGGGACACAACGATGTCATTGCCCGGTCACAGACTTCTTTTCTAAACACCAGACCGAACACACCGCAGAATCGAATTTCTAAAGACCTTCTTTTAGTTTCATGTGGACTGTTTCAAAAGTCTAAACAGGGGTGTTTTACTGTACTGTATTATCAAGTTGCTCAAAACAAACCTAGTTTATATAGAATATTCACAACACAAGTGAAACATTTGGTCGTCATGTGATTTGCGTTATTTAACGAGAAGATTTCACGCATTATACATAATTTCTCTCTTCGCCCCCCCCCCCTCTGAGTATTTTGCGTAGTAGTGTGGTCCTATAACCTATGACCTTTTAATCATGGCGGCCTTCATGAACAACCCATGTTTTTAGTTCTATAATACGATTGTGCTTGCGCTATTATGAATAATACTACGATGCTCTTGTACTGTCCGAAACTTTTATCGCGTGTGTGAAACATTTTGCTTACCACACCGCATTTAGTTTCATTATAATATCGGAAAAAATTGAAAGACAGTTTTCGAGCGTTTGTGATCACTGTCGACGCCGACACTATGCCTGAAATAAAGGTGGTGCCCTTAGGTAAGTGTGGTGTAAGACCACAGTCAGTGACATTGTGGCTAGTCGTAAACCAATCTGTATGGTTTTTATATATATGACCAATAAGTTGTACAAATTATTAAATTATAGTAATCGGTGAAATCATATAAAAATTATATCATGCTTTGTACAAAGTTGTTCATGGTCTTTTTTTTTTTTTTAGCTCAATGCACAGTCTAATGTACATCGCTGTAAACTACTAGTATTCATAATCTAACTATTTATAAACTTCAGTGACAGTTACACATGGTACAAGTACTGTCAGGGTCACAAACTCATTCGATAAACGTATGTTAGCTACAGTTGAAGTCTACTCATAGATGCAAATACCCAGAATTTGTTCATTTTCCAATAAATGGTACTCCTGGGCAATATAAGGATATTGACTTAACAAAAGTTAGGGGTCACCAGCCAAATTTTCGAGAAAAGGATGGTTGTATTTTTGTCAATATTAAAGCACTTTTACCATAGGTGCATATGGCAGAGATATCATGCTATATTTCAAATTGTATGCTGAAAAATCATATATTGTGAATGATGGGGTACTTTTTGTTGTTCTGAAAAAGCTGGGCTTTAAAAAGTGTCAAAAAATACAATTTTGTTTCTATGGAATTGTTCTAAAATAATGATTTTTGAAAAATATTATTTTGCATGGGGCAATAGCTCCATGATTTTACATAATAAACCAATGAACATTGTCTTGTGATTTCATTTATGACCAACTTTTTCAATATTATGAGTAGGCTTCTACCTTAATGACAGTAAAGGGGGAAAAAGGAAAACTGGAGCATCAGGAACATGCACATAGATTCTTCAAACTATATCACATTTCAACAATTCTTTTTCTTTCATTTCAGGTGCTGGACAAGGTGAGTGGACCTCTCTGAATTTCCTTATCAATTATTGTGCTGTTTTTTCAAAGAAATTACTGAAAGAAGGGATGATTCAGTAAAAATAAAATCCAGTCGGTAAAACAAGGTTAAAGTCAAGAAAAACAGCACAAACTCAACTTTGAGGCAACCCTGAACAACCTAACTGATACAGTGACCCCTCGCTAAGTCACGCCTCAGTAAGTTGTGATTTCGGCTGAGTCATGGGTAGTTGTGTTTTGCTGACAGTTTTAAGGTAAAAGAACTATAATGTTTCATGGAATCATGTATTTAATAGGCCGTTAAAAGGCTGGTGAAGACAATTTATCACCAACTGCCTGTCAATTACTGAGATACAAAGGGTGATGGCGGCTTGACTCAAGGTTGACGAGGATGTCAAGTTGCGATTTTACGTACTTCTCTGCCAGTCCCCCTTTGACATAGCTCTATATAACTCGCTACAATGAGTTGAATCCATCACTCTGATCTCTAGTTCTCAACTGAGCAGCATGTCTAAGAAAGAGCTATCCAGTCATACGTAAAAAACTCACAGCGATTGACTGTGTCAAAAAATATGAAACCAAGTCAAGTGTTGCACGTGATCTAGCAGGTGGTGAGTCCAATATTTGTGGTTGGGTAAAGAATGAAGAAAAGCTGAGAAAATTTGTTTTGAATTTGGACTGAACAGAAAATAATTGTGATGTTTTTAGAAAACGTACTATATATAAACCCATGTATGTACATGTATATGTGTTTTTTTCTCTATTTTCAATGCATGATTCCCCTATTCACGGTCAAGGTTTTTGCTTGGATCTTGACAACTAGCTCAAAGTAATGTTTCCTGAGAATTTTGACTTTTGTTTTCACTGGTGATGGTTGCTAGGTGGTGAAAAATTCCCCGATGTCTGCCCCTGAGAATAGCTTTCTTGGAAATAAAAAAATGTCTTCTGCTTAGAATATTTCCTACGCCATGTGATGTTGATGATCATTTTGCCATGTCGTATACTATTTTCACAAATTATAACTTAGATGTTGGTAGAAGCTGTGTTTTGGTTTCCATTGGTGGCAAGAATATCATGTTTGACTGTGGAATGCATATGGGATACAACGATGAGGTAGGTGTGTCTATTCTACAGAATACTTAAATGTATTGTAATAGATGCAACAGTAACTCTTCAGCTATTGAATACAGGGTCTGATCTTAGTGATATAATCTCTACCGGTATCCCTTCGAAAGCTAAAGTCATTGTTTGTCACTTTTTCGTATTTGCTCTGATAGAAATGCATATAAACCAAAAATTGTGTGCGCTTTATACTGAATCAATTAAATCTGACTTATATTGACCATAGAAACACACCTGAATTTACATATTTATCATATTCCCTTCTAATACAGCATATTATGTTGATCAAGAACTTTGGGTAAGAGAAAATTGATCCACAGTAGCTCTTCTTTCTGATGACTTCATTAAGCATGTGATTAATTATTCATGAAGCGTATGATTCTAACAAACAATTGAGTAAACAAAAACTTAAATAATGACAGACGTCATATTTAAAACAGTTGTAGCTTTGAAATTATTCTTCAAGAAAAGCTTTGTTCATCGCAATAAACTTTCTTGTAAAAATGACTAAAAAGTCACGCAGTTGGGGTTGACGATGCACGTTGTTCTCGTTTGATCTATTTCATGCGTTTTACCGTGTTCGATGATTTCGCCTTTTCCGTTTTTAGCAAAATCTTGTGATTATGTTAACAATAACACACCGCCAGCTGGAAGCTTGCACAGACAGCTGATATGGCACCATCAGGCTATGTATAATATTATAATACAGAAATATTATGCAAAATGTTGGCGTTCAAAAAGTTACAATTTAATACTTCATCACATGAGACTCAAATCATTATTTGTATTCACAGCGTAGATTTCCAGACTTTTCTTACATTACCAGAGCTGGTACCTTAACAGAGCACTTGGACTGTGTCATCATAAGGTGAGAATTAGCTCAATGTTTCAATATAAATTTAACTCAAGCTAGGTACAATTATGCTGTGTATATCAGCATATATAATATCTGTAATAACCTTCTAATGTGTGATTTATATTTTAATTTTATTGTAGCCATTTTCACTTAGATCATTGTGGATCTTTACCGCATATGTCTGAGATGATTGGATTTGATGGACCCATCTATATGACAATTCCTACAAAAGCTATATGTCCTATTCTATTGGTAAGTGTGTAATGTGTTTAATTTTGTTTATCAGGAAGTGAACTAATATTTATGTATTGGAAATGTTCATTGGTAATTTTTGTTTATGCCAGTCAAATCTACAGTGGAATTCACCCGTTGTACATCAACTTTTGTCATTGTTCACACATTTTAAATTCAGATGATTTGTTCAAATTTTTTTTTCAAAATTTGATCAAGACTTGTAATCAATTACAAATTATGTCTATTTGGACCAAAATTATCAAAAATATAATATAGAAAAATACATAAAAATAGTTAAAGTGTTATAAAAAATGTTGGCACTCAAAGGGTGAAGGTCACTTCTATGTTGGGCATAAATGTTGGCACTCAAAGGTTAACACTTCTATGCTGGGCATAAATGTTGGCACTCAAAGGTTAACACTTCCATGCTGGGCATAAATGTTGGCACTCAAAGGTTAACACTTCTATGCTGGGCATAAATGTTGGCACTCAAAGGTTAACACTTCTATGCTGGGCATAAATGTTGGCATTTGGAAAAAAATTATCATAGAAATGGAAAAAAAAATTCTATTTCTATTCAAAATTTGTACAAATGCATTCGTGGAGAAAATGTGACAATTGTTGCACTAAATATTTCAAATGTCTTGCACACAAGTTTGAATACCGGTACCTAGAAATAATCAACTCATTTTGAGTCAAAATGGTAGCCCTAAAACAAAAATTTGTAGTCTGTGTAAAAAAATACACGTTGTCTAAAAGTCTAAATGGCGAAGAAGGTGACATGTTACTATTAGAGGGTAGAAAGACAATAGACAAGTTTTGAGTTATAAGCCTCATCAGTCCATGCAAGAATGATATGTAGATTTCTAACTTGCACAATATATTCGCTGGGTTCCCGGCGTTCTTATGAGCTATTGAATACTTATCACCCCCCCCTATGCAGAGAGAATTGGAACGTTTTTACACCAGTGTGCAAATTTTCTATAGCAACAACAGAACTCAAAACATGTCAATTCATTGTTAAATAATTATTTTTCAGGAGGATTACCGAAAGATAACTGTTGAAAAAAAAGGCGAGACCAATTTTTTCACATCTCAGGTGAGCTTAACACTTGAATAAGAATGTTATTTCTTTTGCTATTCAGACGGCCGTATTTTAGTCAAGATGTACGAGATGTAAGCAGCAGGGACAATATTTTCTGTTTTGAAAATAACAAAAGTATAGAATTCAATTCCAGATGCGCTATGACAATTTCATTAAAAAAACCCCACACAATATGAAAAGTTGAAGAATAACCTTCAAACGTCCATCTGTTAATTTATCAGAAATAGCTATTGGTGCTGTTGGGATTATGGAGGTGTATTGTGTTCCATGTGGTTGATTTCAATTTAAATAAAATTTGAAACATGACATTTTGCAGATGATTAAAGATTGTATGAAGAAAGTAGTGGCCGTGAACTTGCATCAGACAGTACAGGTGAGTTTAAAATATTGTTTTTTTGTTGTATGTGATTTCATTCAGTGATAATAATGACTAAATAAGTAATATTATCATGCCAGGCTTCTACAATGATGCTGTAATATAACTCATCCTCTCCGTGATTCTCCATGGAACTTGTAAACACAGTTTAGGATGGTCATAGCTGATGCGCTTTTGGAACAGTGATTTTCAGAAACTTTGCTAAATTAATATTCTGTTATTGGGCTGTTGTAAATTCTGAATAAAAAACTTACCCGAACTGGTTTATGAATTGTATTTAGGCATTTTGCTTACTTTAAAATGACCACCAAAATAGTGTTCAACATTATAGATAATCATAAAGTTAATGCTTCCACTGAAACAAATTTGGGTGGCCCCAGTTTTTTACTTTTCATTAATTTGATGGAACATGCACTCACCTTATCCAGGTTGATGATGAATTGGAAATCAAAGCATACTATGCTGGCCACGTGTTAGGTGCCGCTATGTTTCATGTGAAGGTTGGATCACAATCAGTTGTCTACACAGTAAGTGAAATCAGAATTACTTTAAATCATTTTGTTAAGACCATAAAAACTACATGTACTGAAAAATACTTTGTTTTGAGCTGTAATTAATTTCTGCTTAAAAAACTTTTTTGGGTGTTTTCTGTGTAATTTCTTTCGCTGATTTTTGACGAGTTAAATATGAAATATAGGAAAAAAGGTATATTCACTAGATTTTATTTTCACTGAATCATCCCTTCAGTGAAGACTATTGTATTGTGCTTTATTATTAATGTATGCACTTGCATAATTGCATGCGTGTTTCTGTTTTCAAAATGAATATTTTATTTATTGAGTACAACATGTGTGTACATCAAACATGATTATGGATTTATATGCTTTTCTATTGGTGATATATTGCATATGTCTGTCTGTCTGTCTGTTTGTTAGGGTATAACAGATATATGAATTTTAGATTCAATGTATGGTTGAAAGCAACATTCAGATTGTCTACTTCAAAGTTTTTTGATCAGTAAATCCGTATCAACTCATTGAATATCTTGAATTTGTTGTTGTCATGGCGTGTAAGTAAGAACGGAGACTTTAAACATTTAATTAAACAAGAAAACATATCTTTTCTTCTTTTAGGGAGATTATAACATGACTGCAGACAGACATCTTGGGTGAGTACTTTTGTTTATGACGTATTTGTCTGATACATGCCGATCCAAAACCTCCTACCCCATAGGCAATGTTCCAGAAGCTGAGCGATGTTTTGGTTACGAAAAACAGTCAATTTATTAGTCACAGAAAAATCAAATTTTCAAAATCAAAATTTCTCTTCTGATTTAGAAGTAATTTTTAGAACATATCAGTCTAAAATTAGAATCAATGAACTTATGACAATCATAATGAACTCAAAAATATTTACAAATTACCCTTTGAATAATTACCTTTTGAATTACCCCTTTGTAACTTGAAAATGAGGGTTTGTCAGGAATCAGCCATTTATTCAAGAATGATTAGACTAAAATTGGTTATAAGCATGTAAAATTGTAAACAGCGTTATCGCCATGAAAAGTTTCAAATACTTCTTCAATGTTTAGTTTATCTCACGTAAATTTAAATTTCCCATTTCTTTTTTAGCAAAATTGTGCCTTTTTTTCACTGAAATCAAAGCTGAATATCATACTGCAACTTCTGTGTTGTGTTCATCATTCTGATTGGTTAACAACTGGCTTGCCGTATCAGGTCAAATGACCTTTAGGTTGTCCTCATGAAATCGGTTGTTTGGAAATTTCTTTGTGTTGGTATTACAGTGGATTTCATAAATGAAGCAATGTTTTTTATATGAAATATATATATATTTCAAATGATGCTTGAAAACAACCTGACCAATCACAATAATGGATCCATGGCAGTAAATCGTTCAATGATTGAAATAAACCTGCAAAGACTTGTGGGTAATATGACAGCCTCTTTAGCCATTGAAAGCACAATGGTCTTCCAGGACAAATATTTTATGAATTTCTATTAAAAACATTCATGCTTTCCTGAAATTCACTGTATTTTTTCCCCGTCATTTTCAGATCTGCCTGGATTGATAAATGTAGGCCTGATTTATTAATCTCAGAGTCTACATATGCAACTACAATCAGGGATTCAAAAAGGTAATAAATAACGTCTTTCAAAATTAATCTGCTTTTTCCCTGCCTTTTGATCAGCATTCAAGTAAAAGTTCAGAATTCTGATAATCAACATTGATTGATTTTTGAAGAATTATAGAAAAAATTATGTTGATTTATTTTGAGTCAAAATGCACAAATTTAAAGTCCATGTATACATGTATTATGTTGTATAAATGTCTTTCATTGTTTGGATCTAGATGCCGTGAGAGGGATTTTCTACAAAAAGTACATGACTGCGTTGAGAAAGGTGGTAAAGTCCTCATCCCTGTATTTGCACTCGGAAGAGCACAGGAACTATGTATCTTATTGGAAACATTTTGGTGAGTGGTTTATCATTGGTTATTACGGGTGAGGGGGACATTTCATTATGATACCTAGTTAGGTACAATCAAATGAGATCCTCTACAAAGTACAAAAAGATTCCTGCCCAGTTTGTCACAACAAAATTAAAGTCTTTAATGTTTTTATGTGAACTGTTTTCTCTATAACTAAACAAAAATTTAGTTTAAGAAAATATATGCATTGGTTATGATTGAAAAATAAAACAATCTTTACCCCAGATATGATTTAAAGTTTTCGAAATGATTTTAAAGCACCAGATGTGTATCTAAAACTGGCTATAAAAAAAACTTTCATTTTCAGGGATCGAATGAACTTAAAAGCTCCAATATACTTTTCTACTGGACTTACTGAAAAGGTGAGTAAAAACATTTCTTGAATGTTTTCCAATAAGTTCAGAAAATATGCCAATACCTCAACAGTTATAAATAAGTCTGTAAATATTCTAGTTTTTAGTTGATTTCCAATGTGTTTGTCTGAATCAAACAATTTTATGCATTTTCACAAAGTGATAAAAATGTAACTCAAATCAACACTATTAAAGCCTTAGCCTCTTTGCAGCATGTGGTCATTATCAAAAGTGGACTTTTACAGTATTTTATACTATAGGAGTATAAAAAAATATGAATTTGAACATCGGAGTCAACTTTTGTCAAATAATTTTTTTTCCATATTTTTTTTATAAATTGGATCAAGAATTGTAACCAATAGAAAATAATTTACATTTTGTCCAAAATAAAAAAAAATGTATAGAAATTTGCATAAAATGTTTCTAATAGCAAAGATTGCTATCAATTCTTTTCGAGTATTAATTAACATTATACTCATTGCTTTCAAATACTTGTTTGTGTTTTGCCAGAGCCTGTGTTGTAATCGCAGCAGAAATACTGTGAGATGCGTACAAATGCAACATTAATTTGTTTTCAATCGTTTTTACTAGGCTAATCATTACTATAAATTATTCATAACATGGACTAACCAGAAAATCAGGAAGACGTTTGTGCAAAGAAACATGTTTGAATTCAGACACATTAAGGTAGGTACTTGAACTCGAATACAGATTCCATATTACACTAAAAAAATTTTTATTTTTTTTTATTTTTATGTTTTATTGGCAACATCATGAAGGAAGTGTACATTACTTATTCAAGTACAACTATTCATTAATGACTTCAATAATGTCTATCCATTTCTGACAATGTGTATCAAGTTTATCTCTTTCTGTAGCAATTTCATATTATAAATGATAATTAGACTTCACTAGGAGTTTGAAAAAGGAAAAATGGAGTTTGGACTTTCTCATCTTTGCAGCATAAATGTGTCTCTTGGCTATTAACATAAGTTGGTTGTAAATTATAGAATATGAACTATTTCCAAATATGATCACATCAAGAGTGGGTTTCTGTACCAACATCATTGTTTTTTTAAAACATGTATGCTGGATTATTAACTATAGATACACTGGTGTAAATTTACGTAAGCACATGTGCTAGTAATAGACATCTTAGAAGATTTCAGGTCAAGGACAATATTGTGTTTCAAATTGAATTTTATAATATGTACATACTCCACTTGTGTATCATTGTTTGAGTGACTACTTACCACTAAGTTTAAGGTCTCTTACTACTAATTAGATTTCCATAGGTGACAATGTTAAGTGTCAATGGGCGAATTTCTCCATAAAAATTACAGAGATCAAAATATTGTTTTGATTTCCTGAAACTACATGTACATAATGAATATCTGGCCGAAAAAAAAATGTCCACTAGCTCAAACTCCTCCAAAATGGATGTAAACAAAACACACCAATTTTTTAGGGCATTCTATGTTAAATATTTTTTGAAAAGCAGTTCGTTTTGAAGTGTCTGGTCCTCAGTTGCCCAGATCCACACATCAATAGTATTTGTCAAAATACAAAGTCTTAATTAATAGCTGATGTAATTGAAGCATTCCTTCACACAGCATGTTTCAGTTAAAGCCCTAAGAAAAAAAGACCATTGACTAACAACAACCCTATAATTTGAGTGTGTTAGGGTCTGATAGGCTGACTGGTATTGTGAAATCATAATATACATGCCCCCCCCTAAAGTTCCCACATTCTGGTACTTTCTGTTTCCATATAACAGTAATAATTTCCAATATTATGTAAAATGTTGTTGTGCTTTTGAACTTCAGTGACAATTAATATTTTAGAAATTTATGTTTATGGTGAATTTGTACCTCTGAAAGTACTAGGATGTTTGACCTTTTGGGGGTAATGCATAGGTTATAATAGATAGAGATCTGGGCCTTTATAAATGATTGTCAAAAAACTTGATTGACTGATTGTTTTTTGTCTAGCCGTTTGACCGTTCATACACCGATAATCCTGGTCCTATGGTAGTGTTTGCCACTCCTGGTATGTTACATGGTGGATTGTCATTACATGTATTCAAGAAATGGGCATCAAATGAAAAAAACATGGTCATCATGCCTGGTTACTGTGTTGCCGGTACTGTTGGGCATAAAATATTGAATGGACAAAGAAAAATTGAACTTGAAAACAGGCAAACGGTAGGCATTTGTAATACAACAGTATTTCTATGTTTTATACAGGTCAATGAAACGATATCTGTGTATTGTGATAATTTACTATGTTCCATTCACTGTGCCCTACACATTACCATTTGATAATGGTCAAATTTGATAATGTAAGGATATCTCAATGCAATATTTTGGTTGTTTTGGATTTGTTCTGAATTAATATTAATGGTTATATAATTATATATTATAATATTATAATAATAATAATTATATATAGGAATTCATTTTTCAGATCGATGTAAAGCTATCAGTTCAGTACATGTCATTCAGGTCAGTTTAATAAGTTTAACTTTTGTCTCCTTTTCACAAAATAGATTTATCTACCATCTGTGCATATTAATTAGGTAATTTGCATATCATTAATACTTTAAATGCCAAAGTTTACTTTTGTCACCTTTCTCAAAATAGTTTTATTTACCATCTGTGCATATTAATTAGGTAATTTGCATATCATTATAACTTTGAATGTGAAATTTTACTTTAATTTGTCATTTTTCACAAAATAGTTTATCTACAGTTCATGCATATTAATTAGGTAATATTCATATCATTAACCCTTTGAATGCCAATGCTTATATAAATAAAATAAATCTGCCTCATTTTTTCCATTGTTTTTTACAACTTTAGATCAGGATTGTACCTTGTGAGAATTTTTTCCCATTTGGTTCAAAATTAACAAACCAAATTATCCAAAAATACATAAAATTGTAGAAAATATTTTTGTTGAAAAACTTTATTGCCTAACATTGGAGCATTCTGCTCGTACTTGGTGGAAATATGATTAATTGGTATTTTTTTGAACTTTTGATAAAAACTAAACATTTCACACAAATTTTGTTTTACTAAATTGCTTGTTCAAATTGAACAATTTCTTGAATAATTAATCAATTACGTTATGCTTAATGACATAATTTCTGGCCAATGCATAAGTCCAATTTCTGATGATCTGATCATTAAATAAAGACACAAGTTTGGTGATAATATATTCTTTATATGCTTTTAAATTGACAGCGCTCATGCAGATGCTAAAGGTATCATGCAATTAATTAAGCAATGTGAACCGAAAAATGTCATGTTAGTACATGGTGAAGCAAAGAAAATGGACTTCCTGAAACAGAAAATTGTACAACAGTTTGGTGAGTTTGTAATTCTGTCAGTTTCAAGGCTCCCCGATGATTATTACTACATCAGACCTCTAGAGGGCAGTGTGAATGCTTTTGAAATGTGCAATGAGACAGAAAGGATTTAATTGTACATAAAATATTGCATCTCTTGTTATTTACACCCAAATAAAAAAATAAAATATATAAAAAAATATATCCATGTTTTTGATGTATTATGATTCCTGAAACATTGTTTTATTACCTTGAATTTCAAAAAAAGGGAAGAAATGTTCCCATATATTAACTTCTTAATCAGCATGAAGTATGGTTATATCTGTTTAGTTAAAAAATTTGTTTTCTCACATGAGCTTGTTTGGCAGTAAGTCATCTATTCAGAATCTATCAACAATTTTCAAGGCTCGTCATAAAACTGTATTGATTAACTTAAATTTATTCAAAAAAAAAACATGGTTATTCCAGCTTCGCTCATGAAATTCAGTCTTGCAGATGATATGTGCCTGTGATATATATATATTTATTCAGTACCATTGGCCACAGGCCATAATGTACACACTTAAATGCAACAAAAATAAATAAATAGATCGTTTGACAAGAATAACCGCTGCTACTACTTGTCTGAATACAAACTTATACTTCACATATGAATACCAAATTATATTTATATTTCAGTTAAATTTCCTTCTAACAAACTATGACGTTTTTGTAAAGAGTCGAATACGTATTTTGCAAGATTTTGTATTGTATGTGTATTTTCAGATTGCAGTAGCAAAATAAATTTCCATTCAAGCGATGGGCAATAGTAAAACTTGTGTATAAAACGAGTTCTAATTTCCTCAAATTTAGGACATTATAATAGAAAATGAACACGTTTTCAATGTGATTACAACCAAAAGAACACAATCTTTGGTCAAGTGGTATTCCCAATGCCCTACCCTTTTCAATCATGAGCAGATATCCTAAAACAAGTGAGAGATCTGTGATATTCATCTCTTTGTAGGTGTACAGTGTTTTATGCCTCCAAATGGAGAAAGTGTTGTCATAGAAACACATTCAAATATCCCTGCAGATATTTCTGTGAATCTACTAAAGAGGAATGCCGCTTTAGCTGGTAAGTTTATTCACTCGTGAATCCTTATCAGTGATACAAGTCAACCACTGTAAACTAGTGGTTGATTGGTATCACTGATAAACTTTCATTGAGTCAAATAAGTTTGGGTTAATAGTAATTCATAACATCCTAGTAAGTTCATTAGCATTGAGTTTTAACACCACTGGAATAATGGTCTTTGCTTAATCACCAGTGCAGATGATCACAAGTTTTAAATCATATGACATTTTAATCTTTTCACCACCAGTTATCTCTTTTTCATCACAAATTCACAAAATAGTCCCCTTTTAAGCTAAATATAGCCAAATTTTTTGAGTAAAAACTGAAAATTGATTCAAGTTTTGTCTGTTGGCACCAAAATTAGGGTTCATTTCCAGAAATATAGGAAAAAGGTCAGAAAAATTGTTAATGAAACAGTTCAGTATCAAAATCCTCATAAATTTTATTCAGAAACGATCATTAAAACTATTAAAACTACATGTGTGTATGTTTCCTCCCATATTAAAGCACGGTGGTCGTCACGCAGCGCGTGTTCGATTTTCATGTAAATAAACAATGTATTTTACATGCGATGTGTACGACGACTGTCGTCCTTTAAGATTAGCATTGTTACCCCAAATGTTGATAGAGAGACAGAGGTATGCAACTGCCACTGGTGCTATACAATGATTGTTACACAAGACAAATGCCTATTTCCAGATACTGGAAGTGAGCAAGCCTGTGAAAGAAGTGGTTGGGATTGGCGTCAGATTGTTTTTTGTTTTTCCAGAATCCGTGTAAACGCATGGATTGGTGTGCTCTACAGTTTTTCCTTCTCAAATAAAATTGAATCTCTATCATTAATGTTTTCCACAAACATGTTGTGATTATTCAGAATAACTACCAAAACATGTACATGTATGTTTACTTTGATTTCCAATGAATCTTCATCTCATATTAATTACACATGGTCTACAAGTCATTTGGCGTCTTAATGTCTCTTTGGTTGTACATGTTGTTATCAATAGATTGTGAGCATTTCACGAAAACTGATGGCATGGTCCTCAAAGAATAATACAAAACCTGATACCAGTACATCTCACCACATCTTTGTATTGTTTCAGGTTTCAGCAGTACTCTTTCCACGGATCCCAAGAAGCTATGTACCATGCATGGGGCACTAGTTATGCACGATAATGTAGGTGTTCTTTGATTACATTAAATATATCATGTTCGACTTGTGATCTTCACCATGTTTTTAGCTTGTTCGATAATTTATGTCTATGTTATTATTTTTTCATTGATGCAGTTTCTTGCATGTGTGTTGTTAATGCTGATAGACCAACAATATGCATCTGTTTTAGGTACACATGAATTTACATCATTTGGTTTGGGGGTCTGATAATGGACGATTGATGGCCATTGTGTGTAAAAAAAACATGTCTGTGCTCAATCTCTCTGACTTATCATTGTCAAACAAGCTTTCGAACCATCATTATGTAAACCAATCTGATTAAAATCTGATGTAGTGTACGGGCTTTAATTATTTTGGCTATAAACTTGTTTTAATTTTATTTTTTTTACTTTTGTTATTAATGCCCTTTTATTTAATTATTTTACTTTGATTTTGATTTTTTTAATTCCGCCCTACCTACATCTGATCCGACGCCTATGTAAGTCCCGTTCAAATCTCGCGTAAGTAACAGCCAATCACAGTCCCCCTTTTATACAGGCTGTCGGTTGCTTACTTTTCAGTGTATACGGGCAATTCTTCTGTACATTTATATTTTGCCCACTTGAATAAACCATTAATAGAAAATTGCTAGTATATTTTTATTTGCAAAAGAAATTCCACAGCATTTTACAATTTTTGTCATTTCATTGAATA